ACTTTTTTTTTTAAAGGTACTTGATATACTACTGATTAAAACCTTTGTGTATTTTCTGTATGACAAGTTTGCTTTTTATGATAGCAGCAGTGGTAAAGAGCCCAAGCCAAATGTCCCACTCTGGGACAATAAGATAACGTTGATCCTGAAATCTACCTCCCATCTCCAGTGTACAGTTGACTGCAATTTCCATTTAATGTAAAATGTGATTCCAATCTGAGAGCAGAGGCAGCTTCACATTTAGTTTGTTCAGTGTTTTATCTTCATATCTCAGGTCAGTCTGGACAAAATTGACTGTACCTTAGGGGTTCATCACAGAACATGTGTCTGCATCTCCATAACGATAAGATCACTCCTGACGACAGTGCTCCACTTTAGGAGCATACAGAAGTGTGTAATGTGTGACTGAGGAAGGGTATGAGGCAAGGGAGGCTGTAGAGACAGGGGCATGTCTGTATGGATGCCATATTTTGTCCCAAGTAAGAATCGTGTCTTTGGGGCTGTGCTCTCGAGTGTATCAAGGCCTCCAGAACAGACCTGACAGTCCCCAGCACTTAAATATAAATAAACAAAAGAAGACAGATCCAGCCAGTTTATAGTTGTGGATCAACCCATTAAATGGCCTGAGGGAAGGAAGTGATGAGTTGAAGATCTGGCAAAAGACCAGGATGTTAGCTGGCTGACAGACCTGATGTGATGGTAGGTCTGATTTGCCATTGGCTGTTCAACAGAAGAAAGTGAATTACTTTGCCAGAGAATTAATGGTCAATGAGCTGAAGTAAGTTCATGACGCTGCCTTTCTCTACCTTTACAAATTGCACTGACAACATTCGGTCCTTTAGAGTTTTAAAGAGTAGCAGAATGTAATTTGTTTGCAATATGTAGTCTATGTAAATAATAATATATATTTTAGTTCTCCCCTTTTGGTGAAACTACAGCCTTTACAGATGTAGTCATCATTGCCAACTTCTATATTACTCCTCTTATGATTTCTAGATAAAATAACTTTGCAAGTTGCTCACTGCATCAAAACCACACACTGCTCATATGCATTATACGGCCGATGCACAGTACTATTCTGAATAATCCCTCTATGCTGCCAAATGAACAATGTAGTATTCTTCTGCTCAACTGGATCCTGAAACCAGCAAAGAGCGTCTAAAAGAAGAGGAATATGGCTTCTCCTCATGCTAAGGGACTCTCTGCTCAACCAATTCAAGTCCTATTATTCACAAAGCTAATTTTCCTTGGCTTGCAGCGGATGAAGTATGTGCAGCTAACATCTTGAATCACCGTTTGGGATCTGCTACACATGGAGTTTCCACAGCAACGCATTCTTGTTAGATCATCTCATATTTATACAGGAGGGCAGTAAAGTGGGTCTTTACTGGATGATTCTGGCAAAAACACTGGAAGGAGATTAAAAGGAACTGCTTACATCATTACCCACAACTTCCTGTTGATGATTCACAGGGCATAGAGGAGCATACTATTTACACTCCTGCATACGTTACATACGTAAAACTGCACATGCTGCACCAACATACAAAATCACATAAATAACTTCATGCACGTTAGAACCAAAGTAACCTGCCGTTCTTGACACCTCTTTTACTTGGAGACTATTTATGTGGTATGACTAGCAGGGAGGAGATGTGGATGTTATTTAGTGCTGCCATGACAAAAGCAAAAAAACAACATCTGGGAGAGAAGTGGTTTGTTACTTGGAGGATAAAAGAAGATGGCACAATGGAAAAAGGAGTTGTAATCTCTCCATTCTTCAATGGCTAAAGCTTATAAATCTTCAACACTACAGAGGAATGGTTTTCTCTTTTTCTGCTCTCCTTTTGGGAGAGACATGAGACTTCAGTACTGCACTGAAATGCAAACTGCATGTATGTCTCACCTGGTTGAACCTGCGAGTGAAGGCCACGGCATTTGGAGCAGAGCTGTGTTTCTCCTTCTTGTTCCAGCCACAGCTTGACAGCTCCTGAAAAACATGTATACAATCAGGTAAGTTACAAATATGCACAAGTTCACAAATCCATTTTCTATACGTCAGCATTTTACTGAATGTACTTTACAGTCTAGTCAAATGTCACTCAGTGGGAGGTGAGGAAGAGGCAGAGGGCAGGATGTGATAGGAGAGGAAACATAGATGAGGAGGGAGGGAGAAAGAGGAGCTGAGGAGAGAATCCAGTCAACGCACAGGTAAAACTAATTCAATAAACAAACGACAAATGCAAGTAAATCTGAATCACCACCTTAATGTGATGCAGAAAAGTCAAACTCCACAGCGAGAAAGCTTTACTTCAGTGTTCCAAAACACATCCCATCAGCACAGGGCTGATATAACCTAAATAACCTGACAGTTGCTTGAAAAGGAAGCAATGTCACATCAAAAGAAAAACAGACAAAAACCTTGAAAATGGAAATTCACTCATTATCGACTCACCACTATGCTAATAGTGTGACGTGTGAGTCCACAAAACACTTAAAGAGTTTCATGATTAAACAGCGTTGCAGTTATATCCAATACAATTTAATGGCGACCACTTCTTCAAACGTAAAAATACAACAGAACAAAACATTGAATGTGAATGGCGGGGCTTAAGGACACTTGGATCACATCACAGGAGCAGTTTGGAGGCATTTAAGTGTTTTTTGTTTTTTTAATAATCGAAGAAGCCGTCACCATTTCCTTCAACTGTATTGGATTTGGCTCGACATTGTTTACCCCTGAAATTCAAACATGTCACCCACCCCTGCATCAGCATAGTGGTGAGTAGATAATGAGTTAATCTTCATTTTTGGCTGAACTATTCGTTTAACAATAAAATTCCACAATCATCCAAAGTTAAGTACTTTTATTCCAAAAAATGTCTCATACCATAAAAATGTTCGACACATCAATTTAACAGAGATTAAATAATTAAGCAACTTTTCAATTTAACAGCAGAGGCTATTCAGTTTACAATGATACAAAGGATTGTAATTAATGGTTGTTTGATTCATTTTACTTCATTAATAACTTTGAAGTTACTGAAATTGTAACTTATTGATTTTCTGTTAATGACCTAATACATTTTTCATTTAAACACACACTTACAAAAAAGTGGCAGCTGAAGTAGCTGCAGTGCTGAAAAGTAATTTCACTGTGGAACTTAAATAGAGAAAATTCCAGCAACACAACAGTCAGTCAGTACCAGGCCTCGGCTCTGTCCTCAGCAATGAGGTAAAAACAGGAGACCACACAGACACTGGAGGGGAACCCAGACCCTCCTTTAGACCCGCAGGCTGTCCACAGACCAGGGACACTGACGTAACAGTCGGAACAATGTTGCGCAAGCTCTCCTCTTAATCCCTGCCAACTCGACCGGCCGACTTGGGCTACGATATGAAGAGCTGAATCAGGCTGCGGCTCCTCCACATGGGCCCCCCCCATGAGACAGTCCGACTGTCTGGAAGCAGCAACCTCCACCACACAGCTCACAACTTGGACCCCATCAAGACGTCTCCTCGCATAGATAAGTCACGCTCACTCAAGGGTGAGTCTCTGAGTCGTTAATGGCAGCCAGCAGGGTTAAAGAGGCAGCATATCAAATACAGATGTTAAAAGCAGACGTTAATGCGTGGGTGAGGCGATGCCTCTGGGTCTATGTTGCCTGAGTCAGGATGAGAATAAAAGGAGAAGTAAAAGGGGGAAACACTGGAGGGAAAATGAAAGGACAGTGTTAAGACCATTATAGAAAATACTGTGAACATTGTAAAAGACCCGACAGCATCTTCCCATGAAGCTGACAGGCCTGTGTGGGGCCTCCTCAGAGTTCGAGCCTGTTGTCCCTGTCACAGGATGTATCAAACCCAGTGTGAAGGAGACTTGAGCACGTCTCACCAAAGGAGAACGTGTCGTTTATTTAAAATTTGTCCATTCAAATAAGCATTGCCCTCCGCACTGCTGTCATGTCAATCATTATTTTCTCCAACTTTCACACAACCTTGGTGATGATTCTTAAACAAAAACGTTCCGTAGCTATTAAGAGCTTTGTGTTTGTGTGTCTCGAAGCTCGAACCACCACCTGACCACCCAGGTAGGCGAAACACCCAAAAAGGAAACACACAGATGCTCTTATGCCACAAGAACCACATTTCAACAACTGTCACTGACTCTAACACTGGACCACCTAAGCCTGTCTTCTAATCTAACCATCCATCCGTGTGTCGACCAAGGCACGGCAGAAGTTTACACGCACACGCAGACATTACAAACGGCAGCATTATCGAGGCAGTTCTGGTAAGAAGAGGGTTTTACATGCTAACACTGCAATAAAAATAAATAGAAAAAAGAGTAAGAGCTTCTGCCAAACCAGAGACAGCCTTTCCACATGCAGATTTTCATTAAAGCACACTCCTATGGGGCTGCTATACACTGGCTGTATCTACTCAGTCTATATGGTTAACGTGACTGCTGTCGAGGAAAGCAGACGTCACGTCTGGTTACAAGTTACACGTGCATTCCTATGGATCCAACCTAAGACATAAACAGAGGTCAGAATCTCAGCCATACTAAAACTTAACATAAACATAAAGTTCTCTAAGATAAACCTGCAAATGACTACTCCACCTCATTATCTCTCTATCTAATGCTGTGTTTGTTTAAACCTGATCGAGACGGATCTCTGACAAATGCATTGTAAGAAGATTCAAATAAACAGAGGTACAAGCTGAATACAACAACCAGCTGCAGCTCAGCCACAAATTGCGATGACCTCATGTGAGATACCGCAGCAATTGCTTTTGTTTTTGTGAACTTTGTAAACGGAAAAGTCAAGTCTTAGGGTCTCAGGGAATATTAGTGAGGGGCCACAGGCCAAGACAGGAAGGACTGATAAAGATGAAGAGCAGGATGGAAAAAAGAGGAGGATGAGGAGGGGAGGCTGAAAAAGAAGGTTTGCCACAAGAAGAGCCATTGTGCAGATAGATTTGAGAATGTGAGGAAGGGGTGGAAAGTTGAGTGCTGTTCTGAACTTCAGCCTGTAGTGAGACAGAGGAACCCTCAACCAAGTGCCAGGTTATGACACCAGTCTGCCTTTTCTTAGTTCTAGTAAAACAGAAAAAACTGAACACAAAAACAGAAAAAGCATCATGGAAAGGAAATGTGAAAAAAGAAGGGTCACAAAAGGCATTGTTGCCTCAGTCAGACATCACTAAACTACAGAGCTGGCAGAGACTTCCAAGAAGTCAGCAGCAGGCTCCATTACTTTTCTATGCACACCATGAAAATGATTACTTTTCCAGGAGCTCTTTTCTTACATGTACTGCATAAGATTCTTATGGTAGTCCAGGCCATCTGTCATGGCTGGTAAAACTAGACTATAGGTGTGGTTTCTATAAGAAGATTTGATAGCGCCATTGCATGATATTACTATACAGATTATGTTTCATACTACAAAGTATTTGTTTGGCTGTAGTGATCCACTACTCCTGAAAGTATTCCTCTGGCACCTTCTTTAAACTGGATTAGAAACTCTGGCCCAAATGAAGGAAAACTTGTTATTTTGGTTCTTCTGTCTCCCTATCAAAATATTATTTTCTCCATCTTTCACCATGATTAATGTCTGCTGATCGCCATGCTGGAGTGTAGGTGGGATTCCTTGTTTGGTGTGCAGCAATTATTCTCTCATCCTGACAGCGGAAACATGGAAGTTACAGCTGTGACTGCACAACAGACAGCAAAATGTAGAACATGTTTTAAATGTGAAATTTGTGAAAACGTTAAGCCTGCAAGTCAGGCCTCAGACCGTGAAGCGTTACCTCCAACTACAAGTCATCGCTGACTCCTTGAGTCACATGAGAGCCTCAGTCTGTTCAGTGGAATCCTACACTGGGTGCTCAGACGTGAGGAAATGACATACTTCACGGCGGTACGTAAAATGCAATCTGATAGCTATTCCCTGAGAGCTGAAGCAAAACCTGCCAAAGCCACTAAATTACTTACTTGGCTGTTGCCATGACTGTGTGTTAAAACAAATGCAAACCTCTCCCCCCTTTGAGTCCCTTAACATCACTCAGTCTCTCTTTTCTCTCAGTTTCTATTTCATAAACATCCATCTGCGTGTCTGATTATGAAATTAGAAATGGCCCACTGGGACTAGGAAAAAAAGAGACGAATGAAGAAAAAGTCCCATGTCTTCCATTTCATCACAGTCACACTCACTTGCCCTTTTTCCCTGACAGGTATTATCTCTATATGTCGCTCGTCAGCTGATCGTCCATATTAAAGTGAACTATTCAAGCCAGCTCGCTCTTGAAAAACAGAACCCATCACTGATACAAACCATGAGGAATCACTGCATCGTAAATTTAGATGAGAACAAGATTTAGCTACACGTCCCTCGCATCCTTTACCTCCATCTTTCTATGATCCAGCTTGTCATTTTAATGGCACTTCACTTTGCAAACCCACAGCCAAGGAACACATCAGGGATTCGGCTGATGGTTGTAGATTGTTCTGCAACTATAGATTATTTTACCATAAAAATATAACTTCTGCTGTTCCCATCAAACAGCCTGTACTCCAGAACACAGGACTCTTGACGATGGCTTTTAATATTCTGCACCATCTTTTTTACTTTACAGACAAGACACTTGAGTTTGACTGACGAGGATCCATTACGTGAAGGAAATATACACCAATCCTCATGCATGGCAGTGTCTTATGTGCTGTCACTTATGTGCTATTAAAACCGCATGTGTTTATACTGTGTGTTTGTCTCTGGAGTCTGCTGTGTCAGAGTGGCAAGCTTCCAGCTCTGAGCTTTAAAACCTACCTCTCTTAAACTCTTTCCAATATTAAAGGGTCATTTAGAAATACTGGCTTGTCCAGTTATAATCCATTATATTTCTCCACAGTTTGAAAGAAAAGAGGATAGTGAACGTGAACCATACTTCCTGGCCCAAGGTTTTGGCCAGTCTTTAACACCATTTTCTCACACCGTTTGTGGCGACTTCGTCCACAGTTCTCATGTAAGCTTTTATTGCTTTTGTGACTGACAGTTATCCGTTCTTTCTCGTCCAGAGGCTTCGGCTGGACCTTTCAGGCTCCCGTCCATGCATCTGCTCCTTGGCAGTGGTGGAAAGCTTGAGTTAATTGTCTGGGACAATTTTGCCAACTCATGGCAGAACGTCTGTTTATGAGTCATATACACATGTAGAATATTGAACAACACAAGCATGCATATTAATGTCTGGTCTCTCACACTCAGATACATTCATATTATATGAATACAGTTATGATGTGTTTATGGCGAGAAGAAAAATAAAATCTTAAAAATGGACATAAACAGGCCAAGGCAAAGCTAGTTGATGGTAATTTCAAATATTTGCAGTCAGAAGAGTTATTATGGAAATTACAGAAGCCTTGGAAGACCAGCAAAAAACAGAAACAGAGCAAAACGTTGAAGTCATGCAGAGGTCGGCATTTGCAGAAAGAAGCCATGAGTCTAAAGGGCAAGTTTGGTTTTTGCTATAGTAACTATGCTGTAAGTCTCCAGTAAAAACTGTTATAAATTAGAATAAGAACAGACCAGGAGCACTTCAGAGTAATGTGTTTGTATTTATATGACATGTCCTGCCTCCTGCATATTCCTGCATGCTCTACCCAGACCTTGCCTGAATTTGACCCAGAAAATCTTCTGCTGTGTTGTTGTTATGTGAAAGGGAAACAGCGAAAGGGACATTTCTGTCTGAAAACCACGTATGAATTTAAGAACTGCTTTATATTAATTTGTAGTTAATTTAATCTATAATAGTTTCCCGTTTTATCAGTAAGCTGTTTGTAGATTGTAATACAGCAGTTAAAGGGTGCTTAAAGGGCAGACATGGCTGCATGTCAGTAAAAACACTATTGCACAACTCAAGGTTTTAACCAAGTTATTTAATATTTTCCTATTCAGACAGTGGACAGAGTGAAACAGCAGTTGTGCACCAACACACACAAACACCTGATTTTACCATCATGTGTCTGTGAGACTGACAGCAGTGGAAACTCGAACTGAGTTCAGTTCAGTCATAGCTATGTTGTTTTTTTTCATAGCCAGTGTTGTGAGACAAAAGCCCAGTGAAAGTAGGAAAAGCCCCTCGAGTGCACTCTGATGCTGCTCAGTCACAGTGTGTATATTGTACACTCTGCTCCCTTCTCTACCCCCACACAACCTTCCTCTCCTTGTCAGCCCTCCCCCTCAATCAGGTCAGTGAGAGAACACAAGTCCTTCCCAAATACCCTCTCCTGCTCCCTTTTCCCCAACATCGTTCTTCAATCCCACATATAGAAGCTCTGCATGGGACTCTGTAGCAAGTGAAACCACTTCCACTTGACACTGAAATCTTTACCCTGTGCCATTATTTTCCAAATTGCTACATTGAACTGAAATACAGGAACACATTAGACCTGTTCATCCCACTTAGTCGGTCAGTCAGTCAGTCCAAAGCATTTATGAAAACGTGTATTAACCTCTGCGTGATCTTAGCCCGGTGGAGTTACGACAATGGCGCTGAAGTCCAGACGATATCAATGACTATCCTCTAAGTGAAGAAACAGCAGTACTCCAAAGACAAAAACTACTTAGTGTCCATAACCGATGGCCGGAGGCCAGTTAAAGTCACTGGCCCATCAGTCTGCTCATGTAAGAACGTCTGCTCTTCTCTAAATCAGATTGGCTGCAGGAAACAAATATAATCACCAATTACGTCAGAGGTAAAGGTTACAACTACTAGAGATCTACTCATTATGTTTATAGTCAAAATGTGTTTGGCAATTCAGCAGCCTGACATTAGCCCTATTATGAGACACTGTGGTACTTGTGGATAGTAGTGGATGTGACCATCTGAGCTACACAGCTACAGTAACTTCTGGGGTTGTTTTAAGTTTAGTGGCTAATAGGCTACTAACATAACTTTTTCAAATGTGATATAAATACAATATATAATAATATAATAATATAAATCTGAAAGTACAGGCATGATGATACTCTTCTCTTTGTAACGTGTGCTGCTGTATGCTGCTCAGCTGTTTTTATAATACACTGATAATGTAAGTTGAACACAATAGACAGGCTGCTCACAAATCCCTTATCACAGGTTCCAACATGTTTGTATCCAGCTTTTCTGTTTCAGCTGGTCACTGATCAATGACTGTATTGATACTAACACTAATGCTGGCTAACATCAACTTATACTGTAGCTGAGTAATGTGGCGGTTGTTCATGGTGTTTCATAGCGTTAGGTTGAGGACTGCCTGACTTCAAACTGTAATGTTGTCTTGCATTGTAGGGGAATGATATATGATATATGAATGATATAAATATTGTATAATACTCAATAATCCGTTTTTTTTGCTGCCAGTAAAAGAATGTTGACACAGCTTTAGGGCTTTAATCAATGTTGGATTAATCCCCTCAAACTCAAAGTTTTTCCCACAACAACAAATATTTTCAAGCTCAGACAGGTCAAGCTTCACTATGACATAGTTATTTAAATTAAAACAAACTGCAGGTCTGGGAATGACTTCATGCCAGAGGAGTGTGTGTGTGTGGTGTTCACTGAGAAGCGGCAAGTGTTGCACATGTGCCAAGGCAGGAGTCAGACTGGGCCACAGCACGCTGGGCTGTGGTCTCTCTGCTGCTTTCATAAGGCCACAGTGGCCAACCTTAAACACAGATCATCCATGCCTGCTAACCGAACGGGTCTGACAATACAGACGAGAAAAAGCATTAGCCTCTCTCACCGAGGCAACAGGCAGGGTGGGCAAGACTGAGTATGACAGATACTGAGATACTAAGCGTAATATGTGGCTATGCATCGGAGCTCTGACTGCAGCTGCTGTTGAGCTAACAACTGCATGGTAAGGATGCAAGAATGAAATACAGAAAAAGAAAAGGGCCAGAGAGAAAGACAGCAAATGGATAGAGTAACATCATAAATATAGTTTTGATTTTTTTACGTAGTTTTTGAGATAAGGGGGACTGATTTTAGACCTATCATTAAAACAATTACAACAATTTGTTTGATGTGATCTCAGCTCACCTCTGGCTGGATGGCCTTGAACACAGGAGCATCCATGAGGGTAATCTGGCCCTGGAGGAGATGAAACACGCAGTTATCAGACATATTTTTATAGTATGCCACAATGGTTAAATTTGTATTTGCTCAAATCCCATACCGCAATGTAATAATGATATTATGAATTGGACAAATAATTTATTGTTACATCTAAGATCAATAATTAAACAGTTCAAATTAAAATACTGCCACGTCATTGTACACAACAGGATGTGTACAGCCTATAACTTTCATGACTTTTAAAGACAGCACCTTTTAACACCTTCTTGATATACCAGGGAAAAGTGACACTACCACAAGACAAAGATTAAGAGTGCCACCTTGTGGTCAAACAGGGTAGAACATAACGTTTAAGAGATGAAGTATAGAAAAGTTCACTTACTGCATATTCTTCAGGAGTCACCTTCAACACATCGAACACAACAGCATCAAAACTCTTCTTCAGCTCTGAAGAACCTTTATCACTGAGAGATTCTGAGCTGCTGCTCCTCTGATGGAAATAAAAACACAAACACACACATAATATTGCAGCTGCGTGGTTAAGAACAAATATGATGTGGGAATGAGAGGTCGATCAAAGAAAACTGTGGTGACTAAATATTCCAGTCAAAATGAGCACCTGACACTCAAATACATCCTTTCACCTCATTATTATAAAACACAAGAGCTAGACACTTATTGTGCATTCGTCCTGCGAGGCGTGGCCTCACCTCAGAGACAGCGTGGTTGGTGATGCTTGACTGGCCATTAGGGAGGTCCATCATTCCCACACCATCTAGCTCTAGTGCAGGAGACCATTCATCATCCTCAAATGCAGCAAAGTCCACCCCTGGCCCTCTGGAATAAAACACAGACAAAGACAGTCAGTGAGTACATTTAGCACAGCATCTTAACCATTATTACCTCACCAGCAAACATATGAGACTCATCACTCACAACTTGTTGCAGCAGCACCCTCTTCTGTTGAAAATGAGTTGATTGAAGTATTCTCACTTTGTCATTATGGGTTCCTGACTTGAATATTAAACTAAATGAACCCTCTGAAAATGTTTTATTGAATTGTCCCAGCAGGCATGTGCATTTCATATAGACACAGACTTTCACAGCCTGTCACTTACTACACATAAGACCGGACAAGACAGAAGGCGCTTAGGCTGAGTGTTAAGAAGAGATCTTCTGTGAAAGGGGTTTGGAGAGGACAGCTGTCTGCAAGAGCCACAACTTTAAACAGCTTACACGGCACTAGAGTATGACCTACTGCCATTCAATAACTCTCTAGACCAGAAGGATTTTAAAAAGTTTTATCTGGCCAGCAGAGCAGACGAGGTAATCCTGAAGCTCTCCAGGTACTTTTAATGGATAACTGGATTTTTACAAAAACATAAAATGAATGCTGTAACTGGGAGTTGTAAAAAAAAATAAAAAATGTATTAAGTGGGTTGCTTAACGCTAAGGACTAATGTCATACCATACTACAATGTGTCAATTACAGTACTTGCAGTGCAAGCAGGAGCATTGCTACTGAGAGAACCATATTAGCTGAATAATAGAATTACCGAAATACTTCACAACATTGTCACTATAACTTATGATGAATCAAATGATGAATAATAGATTCAGAATCTGAATTCTGCACAAGCTGCACTTTCAACGTCTCAGTGTGCTGTAAGCTGCAGCGTAATTTACACATCATGCCCCGCCTCCTGCATGCACTACCCAGAAGACATCCAACACCTGAATGTCCTGGACATTGTCCTGTTGTGGATTCATCTGACCCGGGCAATCTCCAGCTGCCTTCTCAATATGTGAAAGGCAAGGCACATGTTAAGACAATCGGTCATTTTGACTGTTAATGGGTAAATTGTTATTGGATGACTTATTGGATTTTAATATTACACAATATTCCTCTCTCCCCAGAAGTGAGAACTCCTCACAGATCTCACATCATTTCCCAAAAGCACACTGAGAAATAGTTACATAAAATAGGGAGCTGCTCAGAATACTGAAGGCCAGTTAAGGCATCTCTTGAGTACTTGACAATGCAGGCCTCTATGTGCCCATATGGGCCTGTTTGCGTGCTTGCGTGCTTGCGTGCATGCGTGCGTGCATGAGTATGTGTCTTCCTATCATTTTGGCTGGCTCGAGGCTCAGGGCAAAGGCATTTGCTTCAAGAACCATTAGTTGCTTCCTTCCACAGTGTATTCTGCTCAGCCAAGAACAAACAGTGCTACATCTTGTCAACCTTCTTCATATTGTTTGACAGCAGTGTATAATTGCACAGGGAGCAGTAGCCAGTATTGTTTTCTCAATTTGTTTACTTTCTTATATCTGTATCATCCACCAAAAATCTATACCAGTCTGGCTCTAATTAATATGAGGCTGTCTACAATCCGGGCACACAATGCGGGCACACAGATACAGTGCTGTCAAAACAATGTGGAAAAACAAGCTGTCCTTACAAAGACTTTGATACACTTACCAGTCGTGTGTCAGATGAGCATAGTGCTGGGAGTGAGGCTAGCCCGTTGTTCTGTATCGCCGTCTTTGTCTATCAAGTCCTTTCTTTCTGTGAGACTGGCTCCTGCTCTCTGTGTGAAAGAACAAAGAGAAAGAGAAAGGAAGGCAGCATGAATCTTCTGAACATGAGGAAAACCCCGCAGCGATCAGCAACAAACACCGCCAAAATAGTCCAATAGCTGATTTGAACAACCAACTATTGCAACAAATGATGATGGCCACCTCTGCATCCTGTGAATCATCAGTTTTAGTAATAGTTAACTGGGAAAAATGCAGGAGAGGAACATTGACAGGAGTAACATTGGCATCATATAAATACCAACTAAAACTTCCTCTCAGATAGTTATACACTATAGCAATGCCATTTATTATATTATACAACTCAATTTCCTACAATTAATAGGTCTAATTATTCACCTGAATCAAGAGATGCAGTAATCATTACAAAAACGATGTATGCAGATGTTTCAATAGGTATCCGTCTGAGCAGATTGGGGATTAGCCATGACATTACAGAGCCCATCTCGTTATCATTTTCAGTGTTTCTTCCAATATCTTCATCAATTTATTCACAGCTGCTGATATTTCTTGGCACTGAAATGTTACATAGAAATGATTCCACAAAGCCCTAACATAAAGACACTGGATGGGTACAGACTGGTACCTGAAGCAGAAAAAATGGACCATACGTCCCTGATTAAATGTCTTTATCGCACATTAAAGCTGCACTCTTCAAACTCTGTTTAATGCACTGCAAGCGTGGTGTTGAACACATTTTTTTGTATTATCAGCAACAGAAAAGCAGTGTACTGTTTTTTGTTTCACAATGAAGTACCAGACATTTATTCTAATTTATCAGTTTGTTTCTAAGAAGCAATGTGTGACTTAATATTTGACAGACACAATTCCAATATGCTCGAGATTGTTTTGACTTCAAACTAAACATGACATAACATGACTTATAACCACCAGTAGGTGTCTCACTACTCTAAAGAATGAAACCTGTGTGTCGGACTGAGACAGGCTACGGACAAATGTTGCATGCTGGCAGACAGAAGTTGGTCTTTTGCCTATAGGCAGCAGCTAAGATCTTCTCATCCTCTCAAAGTTGTTATCACTGGATAGAGGTACAAAGCTCAGCAGCAGAACAAACAGCAGATAAGGATTTCTTCTACACCAAGTTAACTTTAAACCTTTGCTTTCAGAAGTCTGTACATTCTTTCAAAGATCACATTAGATCAAGAAAACACCACCCCGGAGATTGGATTCAGTTTCACAACAGCCCTGCTGCGAACAAACTGGTTCAAGGTTCAAGCTGGGCCACTGTGTTGTTTTGTATTGTAAGAATAGGAATAACGTGTCTTCCTACGCAAACTTAACGACTATGCTAACATCTATATGTCTGTCATTGTCACAGAAAGTGTTGCTATACAGTGAGCAGTGTAAATACTCCATGGCAACAGCTTGTCTGTTGACAGTTTGCTCTGTGTCTGTTATGTACCCGACCATCCAAGACCAGTTTACATCCAACTCTGCAGCTCCCTAAGATCCCCACACCTCCAGCTATGCAAATTCCATTACACTCCCCCATCGAATCCCATCAGGTCAGTCCCCTGTTCTCTGCACTTGGCCACATTCATATACCTCTGATAGAAAGCTGAGCTGAAATGTGCTGTGTTGACATCATGCTTTACTTCTTGGCCAGGGGAGTGTATACCTGAAGGAATATCATGTGAGGTGTTAATTTGGGAATGCTAGGAATGTTCACTGGGACAGTACTTGAGGAGATGATGGATAAGAGGAAGACTGACAGCAAAGTGGAAAGTGTCATGTTGTAGCAGAGGATGTGTTGTTGTTAAGCCAAATGTGACTCATTGCGCAGCCTAGCAGGTGCTGTTGAATTAGGCGTCTCTGAATCGGCTGCCTCTCCCCCCCCTCTTTGTGTTTCCTGGCTGCTTTGACATTCACATGCTGCAGTTCAAACACAAAAGCCACTGCCAGTCTAATTGGCCTTGTTGCTGAAGGGCAAAATGCATACTAGCAAGTGTTTCTGTGTGTCGTCATTCACATACCAGCATATTTGCGCATGTGACAACACATTCCACATGTGCACTGACCCTTACTGTACATTCCTGTCTCAAGTGGCCCTGAAAACAGGTCTCCTGCACCTTCATTTGGCATGTCCTCTAGCCTCCTGCTCATCTCCGGCCCTGTTTCTCTTCACCTCGACCTCATTTCACTGCTGCAGCTTAAGATTTTTTAATAGACAAAAGGTGCATCTCTGTCAGGTACAGAAATTAAAGTGCATGTACTGCATGTATGATGTGTTTGTGGCAATTGAAAAGAGTAATAATTTAATTGTTGTGTATTTCTACTATTTCTTTTTATTTATTTGTGTTATTTTTCAGTTCTGTCAAACTATTTAATAAAGGAAGTTCTGTCTTCATTTTCTGCACGCATCTGTTTTTTAAAGGGTTTCACGTGAGCCAGGCCATACAACAATGACAGGAATCATCACTTCCATACAGGGTTAGAAGCATACAGTAGCTAAAATACCTTATATAAGATGTATTCTATCAAATGCACTGGTATCAATCGGTACTTGACATTGAGGATATGGCATTGTATTGTCGGAATCAGTGTCAGAAAGGGCAAAATGGTTTTGGAACATTAGTAGTATGCATATATATGAGGCGGCATCTTCCATAGGCACACACAAACATAAACGATTGTGTGAAACTGTGAAAAAAGGATCAGATGTGAGATTTCTGTAGCGTTCAGCATTAACACAGTGTTGTGTGACTCCGACAGCTCTGCCAGTCCCTGCCAGCAGCTCTGCAGGCCTGTTTTTGACACCTAGCAGCCGCGAAAGCCTCGCTTCTCAATCTGCTCCAAACGTGTGTGAGAGCTTCACAAATGTCGGTCTCATGCAAACACCAAGATTCATAGTCCTTATTCATAAAAACAGAACAGAGTCTTGGGCTTTTCTCTGCACAAACCTTTAGAAAAAAAAAAAAAAAAAGGAGTATGGGGAGAATCCATTTCTTCTATTGGTCCTCTGTGCTTTATGATAAAAAATTAAAGTACCTCCTCTTTGTCACTGTACAATGCTTGCACTGTGTAGCACATGCCCTCTGCTTTGCCTTGCAGCAACGGCAGGGCAAGAGGAATTCCAAAACCATGCCGCAGAATGCACCAAAGTCAGGGAGCCAAAGTGGGTCAGTGTGTTGAGCTGAGCAGTGAGGGATGTGACAGCCCATTAAGCTGTGCCCTGTTCTTCTTCTTCTTCTCTTTAGTACACAGTACACACACACACACACACACACACACACACACTTAGGATCTATAGGTCTGCAAAGTCAAAGCATTTATCTTTTAGGCAAATTACATGTTTACTATTTAACAACCATAGTAGGTCTGAATGTCACATTAAAGTTACAGTGTGTAGAATTTTGTGATATCTAGTGTTGAAGTTTCATGTTGCAGCTGAACACCCCTCACCTCACCCTCTCCTTCCAAACATGAAAAAGAAACTGTGGTCGCTTCAGTTGTCATAAAAACTCAAATGGTGTTTAGTTTGTCCAGTCTGGGCTAATGTAAAAAACACGGCAGCCTCCGTAGAGAGGGTCCCCTCAATGTAAATATAAAGTATTTAAATATAAAGAGCCTTTTCTGGGTAAAGAAAACTACAATTCATACAATTTAAATGAAACGAACTAGTGAAAACATCATGAGGATTATTCTACATTAAATTTCTGCCAATAGATCCTTTTCTCCTAAATCTTACACAGGAGACACTTTACTGGGCTCAATCAGAATAAACTAGGATGTGGATCTGTACTTTTACAATTCAACAAATGGTTCAGCATATGAACATATGTTACTGCTTTTGACCTCTTATACCCCTGTTTTACATGAACAAATAAAAAAGTCTTATTTCTAAATTAAATTTAAATTAGATTTTATTGTATTTGAAAACTGCTAATCACCAGGAAGCTAGTTACTGGTGTTTCAATTATGCTATTTCAGCAAAGGCTAGATATAGTTTCTCAATTTCCCTGTGCTCCAGTCAGGAGAACACTATTGATCTAAAGCTATAAGAGAGGCTGATCACACACGCACTCCAATAACCTGCACATACACACACTAACACAGCATGTGCATGTCACAGCAGTTCGATAAACTGCTTTCACTCAGCAGGTTGGCTATTCAAGCATAGCATGGTGTCCGGACATGGTGTGTGTATGTGTGTTGCTGTTGAGGGATCACGACTAACAGGCCCTTCACACCATCACTTATCATGCCTGTGATGCTCTGATCCTGCATAGGTGGGGGCTCAATGAGAGAATGGGCCGGTGGAAGTTAAAAAGAGAGGATGCCCGTGGTAACTATGAGTTATGAACACCAACTCCAATGCAAATGCAAAGGATACTGCATTGGCCTTAATTTAAGACATAGTATACAAAGATATATAACAATCATTATAACTTTGGGTGAAACTAGAACTATTCTTTTAGAGAGCATTTTGTCTTGTAAAAAGTTCTTAGTGACTCGCACAAAGCCCACTCTCATGCATATCACCGATGACAGGCAGAAACAGCCCCTAATCTACCAATGCGGTGGCCCACCTGATGTTAGGCATCGGGATTTGGCCTGTTAGTTCAGATTGCCTGTCCGATAGCCTAGCCTAGAATTACAACTGTCAGACACGTCTGACAAAAGACAGTCTGAATGTCAATTTCAAATGTCAGAGACAAGCAATCAAGGTACCTAAGCCCTCCAGAAACCTAGAGAAAACTGCTACATTATGTGTTGAGGCTGCCATCAGCTTCTTTTTGAACACTGCCACATTATATTAATTACTCTTAAAACATAATAAAAAAACAACAAAAAAACACTACAAATGTACAAAGACAACTAAATACAGTAACCAGATCTTTCAGCTAAATGAACATTATTGAGCAGGTCAACTGATTATTCTGTTCAAATAATAACAAATACACAGAGAACATGATAGACACATTATTAAAGCACATTCACACACCCGAACCTACTGTAGTTATATCTTTCT